AACATTTCCATGATAACTGTATGCCTAAAAAATGTTTCATATTATTAGTAATACCATCAGATATTAACAGATTTGGGTGCCCTTCAATTAAAAAATAAATGAAATTATATTTACTTGATAGCACTTCAGTTTCAGTAATTTTCCAAATTTTAAACTTTTTATCATCTCCAATAGTTATGCAATGTAAATTGTCATCAGTTTGCGAAGGTGCAAATAACATACTATTAATACTATCTTCATGGGGATATTCAACTGAAGTATTTAAATGAAATCTATAAAAAATGGTTATTACAAAAAATTAAAGCTTTGTTTGTGTAAAATGATTCTTACTGTTGTTTCGATTCGTGAAATTTCCAAAATTTCAACCTAATTTCATCGCAATACTCTTCATCTTTCCTTTCTTCAACAGTCGAAAACCACAATCCACTTTTACTTATTGCGACTTTCTTGATTTCTGTATTAACCATCTGAACCCCACGTTCGTTTGTTATTCTATTTTGTCCCGCAATGTCGACCTAAAATAATTATAAACCTTGACACTTTAGCAAACAGAAAAATAGAATTTATTAATCTTTGAGAATTATACACTATACAAAGACACTAGGTACATAATGTAAAATCCTATCAGACTAATCAAAAAAGTGTTAAGTAAAATACATTAAAAAATAAAATATATATATAATAGACAATTCATGTTAAGATTAGTTTAAAAGTTCAAAAAATCTTCTATACTATAATAGTACATTATATACCTAGGGTGAGAAGTGAGCTATTATTTACTGAGCACTTTTATATCCTGAGGCGCGTAGCGCCGAGGGATATAATGTGCGAGGTAAATAATAGCTTTCTCAGCCGAGGTATATATAGAATTTTTTTTACTACTAACATTAATGTATTAGCAATTTTAATTTTGACATAAGTAATTTCCTAACAATTTGTTAAATATTTCGAAATATCAAGCAGACTGGAGCGTGTTTCTAATCAGACTGGCTTTATTTATGTAAAAATTTGGCATGTGTCAAATTTTGGTATGATTCTAGGAAATATCCCATTGCATTTTTGATATTTTAATGACATGGATTTATTGTTATTAATTAATAATTTTTAAAGCCGGTGTTGAATTTCCTAGTTAATATATATTTTTACTATTAACACTGATATATATTATCATATTTGATTTGATTAGATTTTAATAAACCCAGCTTTAGTTATTTCCTACTTATTTTTCAAATATTTCAAAATATCAAGTAGTCTGGGAGTTTAGTTGTCAAATTAACAAAATGAAACTAATGAAATTTAGTTTCATTATTTACCTAGGTTTTTTTTTATCATCATTTACCTAGGGAGAGAAATATTACTTCTCATTAGAGGAATGGAGTAAATAATGGTGATTTCTCATGTTAGTAGTAAAAAAAATACATTATTTACAAGAAAATCATTATTAAGATGTTTTCTTATATCATTACGACTAATTTGATGATAACCTGTAGTATCTTCTAATATGTTACTGAACTTATTGTAACACTTAATCCCAATATATTTTGGTGAATGCTGGCTTATTTGTAGTCATGAAAAAGGTTGATGGATGTTAAATTTTAATCTAGTATCACATGAGTGCAGGTCTTTATTTTTATTAAATATATGCTCATTATCTTTTATGTATAAAATTAGTTAAAAAATAAAAAGGGAAGGTAGTGTTAAAATTTGCGTTTTCTTGAAAAATTCTTTAAATGATATTGTTGGTGTCACCTTATACATGGCTCTCAGAACCTTCTTTTGAGATACAAAAGCTCTTTTAGATAATTTTTTAGCTTATTATTAATCAACTTATTGTACCTTATGAGTATACTATGTTTGTGACTTGTCTTATGTCATGTAAATGATACAAAAATATCAATAAATTTATCTATCTATCTATCTTTCAAAGTATGGTGAAGAACCCCAAAATATTAACCCATATTGTAGAGTTGAATGAACCAAACCAAAATAGCATAGTTTTAAAGTATCAAAAGATAGTGTCTCCCTTAAATTTTTGATGATATAACAACAAGTACTTAATTTTGAAGTTGCCATTTTTATATGAGCTTCCCAATTTAATTTGGGATCTAATATTATTCCTAAATAAAAATTTCATGTTATCAACGCTTTGAATAGTTTTTCCGTCAACGTGCAAGTAGGGTTCGTAATCTGGTAATATGTTTTTGAGTACAAATTGCATGAAGTTTATTTTTGTTACATTTAATGCCAGACCATTATCTTTACAATACTGGTTTAACTCACGAAATGCCTCGTTGCTACTTTGAGTGA